TCCGATAACCATCAACAACTAATTGAACTTCTCTTTTCATACTTCCTAACAAATTTGTCCTCAAATTATAATAAGAAGGAGCTTTATAACCAGGACCAATGGAAGTCATGGCATCAATCATTTTTTGAAAATAAGGAGAATTCGCAGCATTTATCGGAATGCAGGTAGCATAGCAAAATCTAGCAATGGCCATGTCAGCATTATGTAAAGCTTCTTTACTTACAAATGCGCTTTTGATAGAAACTTGTGAACCTGGAGTCGTTCTCGGAGCAAAATACTGAGACGATGCTTCATTTCGTTTTCTCTTTCCTCTTTGAGTAGATGCTGCAATTGGAAGTGCTTGGTCCTTTTCAGGATGATTTTGTTCACCCATATCAACTGAATGATCATCGAAGAAACTACGAGCATCAAGTGATCTTGCAGTAGTCTCTTTTAAAGATTGCTCCACCTTGTAGCGTATATCATATGGCACAGACTTACAAGGAGCAATATCACCTTTTATGCCAGCCAAGTGCCTTTTCATTCTAGTAATCCCACCACCTCTCCAAGTGCCTGAACAGAGAAGGCATGTCCAGCTTTTTTTCCCATCTTCAGCTACATTTTCTCTAAAATAATCCCAAGCCATATCAGTCTTCTGTCTCACTGATGACTGAAGTGAATTTTCAATTGAACCAGTTTGTTGACCACTTGAAGTTGAATCCATCTGCTATAAACATAAATCAAAAGGCATGAATATTATCAAAGTGTTTAGTTCATTAATAAATTCAGACTATACACATAGCTTAATGCTAAAACACCTCTGATGGATCAAAGGAAATCAAAACAATCATTAACAACTTCTACTAAAGGAACCTTTCAATAATCTAAAAATTACAGCTACATTTGACAAATCAAGAATTTAATAAAAATAATTGAAAAAAAAAATCCCAAACCTGAGGGTTGAGTCTCGCTTGCCGCGGAGAATCAAGAAATCCCTTCCTTTCAGCTTGTTATTTTTGCCGCGGAGAATCAAAAAATTACCGCTACATTTGACAAATCAAGAATTTGTTATTTTTTACACTTTCATGAGTGGATTCAAGGAGCTAGGGTTAAGATTTTGAGAGAAATACGAATTTGAGAGTTGTTTAATTTTTTACACAGTGGGTTTGGCGTATGTGATGTGGTATGCTGGCTTTTGCCTTTTTTTTTTTTTT